TGATCTGAAGCTTGCTTTTTTCTCACCTCTCCAGCTTCAGTCTTGACAGTGACCTTCCCTGTTTCCCTGCTTTGGATTGTCCCTTTCACAAAGGATTCCTTTGGATGTGCCACAAAGACAGATGACTTGGCATCAAAAGGCTTGTTCTGGGCCTCAATTCTTTCCTTCTCTGACTTTCGGAGGTAGGGAGCTGCCTCTCCAAAGACAGCCATCTCAGCATCTGAAGAAGCCATGGCTGCTCTTCACTGAAGGCACCTCAGCAGAGTCTGGTGGGGCAAAAATGTTGTGGATCACTGATAAATTCCTTACAATGAAGCTAATAAAATTCTAGTTAATCTTCAGGAAAGCCTCTTAGCAACAACCACTTACATTCACTCTGACTTGAACTTAAAAGTTCTAAGTACTACTCAAGAGAGGGACTTGGACTTCTGAAAAACTTCAACAATAAATAACAGAATATCATCTCAATACTGACTACAGTTTTGCATCTCTCTTTGATCAATTCTGATCAGTTTTGAGACCTTCACATAAAAGAACCTACAGCTGGAGAAAACCACTCTCTGTCTGGTCCTTAATTATGAATGATAATTCATTAAGACAGTGCTTCCTTTTTAAAAGTATTACCATGTGGACTATTAATTAAGTTACTTCACTTTTTAGATCTTTCCTGTTTTCAACAGTCTAGCCTAAGCACGTCTGTACAAGCCTGATACAATGAGAAATCATGCAGCTGTAAATAATCCTGTAAACAGTCTGTACTGTAGGAGTGCATTATTGAGCATTGCCCTTTAAAAATGACTTCTATAGGGGAAAATTGTCAGTCCTGTGAAATAGGAATGGCAGTTGTTTCTTGATGCAGCAAAGAGTTTTAGAGAAGATTCCTAGATTGCAGTTACAGACATGCACTGAAATTATATAAACAGTTTTGTTCACATGGACAGTCCATAATGGAATTGGTCGGCAGGGGCAGGATAAATTGACTGGATTATTGCAAGGACAGTGTCCTCTTTTTCCAAGCTCACAAAATGCATGCTCTTACCTTGAAGCCTTCTGTGGAGACAGGCCAGACTTGTCCCTGGGAGATTTTATAGTGTCTCGTCTGCAGAAGCTGTAGATGCTCCCCCTTTCTTCGGTCAAAACATTTCTGGCAAAATTTCTTTGGCAAAGCATTGTCTGGCAAACTACAGACATAATTGTCATTTGATTTGAATGATATAATTAGAATGGTTTTATATCTTACTGACTATGTGAATATATCTATAAATAATTTATCAAGTGTGTTAAGGAGAAAATCTAGACTACTCGAGGCACTTAGAGAACTTGGATGCTGGAACTTATGGTTTCTATTGCTGGCTTTCTCAGTGATTTGCTGTTTGACCCATGGCAGTTTGCTTGGTATGTTTATACCACAGTTCTTTAGTCACACAATGGGAACAACAGCATGTCTATGATGCTTTAGGAACAGACACACTGAAAGCAACAGGAAAGGTAGGTCAATAATCAGCAAATTGTTTTTAAGAACTGTTTGCATTTGTATGTTCTAAAAATCAGGAAGTCAAAATGTATTACAGCTGCAGTTTCTATATAGGACAGTCACAATAGCTGAGATGGTTTGAAATACATTGAGTTGAAGTTCAGGAGGCTCTTCCAAGTAACAGGAGACTTTAGTTTGAAATGGAACTCTACACAGATTCCTGAGCTGACTTTGAGATATCAAATTAAAATATATATTTATGTATGCATAGATAATATATGCTTTTGTGTGTATGTCATTAAAAAAGGATTCCCCTAGAACTTCTGCTTTCTCTCTGGTCACTCTCTTACACATTTCACATGCATTTGATATATGTGTCATCTACATAAATAATCCCCTCTTGTCAGACCACAGTTACAGATGCCCCCAATCCCTTCCTTACCTACAGCTCCCCAGGACAGTATCCCTCACCCAGTCATGTTTGTAGACACAATCTCATATATTACCTCAGCGTACCATTGTAGATGCTGTGCATTCTAATAAATCCTCTATCCAGCACTACCATCCCATCAAAATGTTTATATTTACATGTTCACAATCCAAGAAAAAGTTTAACACCACAGTACTATCGACACAAGAGCTATGGAGGTAACAGACTGTCTTGTGTAACACTGGCAGTCTGAGAAAAGATCTGCAACCAGTGAGTCACAGATTCTTGGAAAAAATGAGGCATTCAGTTATTATTTGAATGTGGTGCTCAGGGGCATGATTCAGCGGAGGGCTGCTAGGGTAGTATGGTTAGGTTGTGATTGGACTCGATGATCTTTAAGGTCTTTTCCAACCTGAGCAATTCCACGATTCTATGATTCTATGATTAGGAACATATACTGCCAATTTGCTGCTCTTTCTTTTCAGTTGTACAGCAGATTCAAATCAAATAGACTGTACTCAAAATATTTGGAAATTGTGAAGACATCATGTTGAGCATTGAAAACCTGTGTCACCATTTGTCCATGCTTAAGTTGTTCAGGGAATTCAGAAGTAGGTTACCTCAAGTTTCCAGCTTCAAGTCCTTCACCAAGTCTCTTCTCACTTCTCATCAACCACCCTCTCGGGACGTGATCACTACTTGCAGTTCAGAGAGGAGTACCACACTGCTAGAGCAAGGAATGCAACAGCAACAGGGACTAGAACTACTCCATACAGAATGGGCAAATGTTAACTTTATGTTGTAGTGGCAAAACTGTATTTGTGAACACTGTCAGAGAGTGCTTCACGAAAACACTAGCTAGGGATTAGTCTGAAGGATAAGCAGTCTTGAGCTATTTCATTCAAATGCGTCTATGGACATAGTTAAAAGTGAAAAATTGCTGAAAATTTGCTACGTGGTAATAATTGTAGTATGACTATAGGCAACATCTTCGAAGAGTTAAAATAGCCAAAAATGCTGTATGATTCTGTTAATAAAACACATAGAAAGGAGGCAGTTCAGTTTTAGTATGTTGACAGCTACTTCTTGACGTTACAGTGAATGCTCAGAGCAAAGGTATGCTAATTATCAGGAAAAAAAGGAGGAAAAAAACACTGCTGGAAGATGCAGATGTCTGAGTGAAAGTTTTGACTGTGAAGACTGATGAAGAAAAGTTGCTGCATACTGAAGTATTTTCTGTATCATCCTGCACCAGGTGGTCTCCTAAATTCATTGGGAGGCATGTTTTCCCTGAGTGTTCTTTTGCATCATACCCACAGAACTGTTATGCTTTATCTCCCTATGTGCCCAACACTACTATTTTGTTGCCAGTCCTTGTTTCCACATCTTTTATAGTTTTGTGGTTTAAGTCACCAGGAAGCTAAGATGAAATTGCTAGTCTTCCTGAAGAACAAGGTGATTTGTTCCTGAGGTCTCAGTATTTTTTTTTATACACTAGCTGTCTCTCCTGAGCAGTGTTCTTTTGCGTAGTTGCTTTCAAGGGTATTCCCTGAATCAACAGTTCCCTGAATAATGTGAATTCTGGTCTTATGAAGTCTGAAGTGCTCAATTCTGCTGCTTACCTCCCTGACTTTCCACTAGCTCCTTCACACAGTCATCATGTGTTTAATACAGCCTGAACTACCATCTGGGATTATATGAGGGCCACTCGAAAAGCAAGGCCCCCTACTTCATTCTGTTGGACCACATCAGAAGCAGATGTTCTTGGGATGGCAGCAGAGGGTGGACCTTTGCAACAATATTCCATTACATTTTCTTGCTTTATGACAGATGGCAACAAAGAGGCACTCTGACATGAAAGTGCATGTGAACCAAAGGTGTGTCACTGAACCTCTCCATGCAAATAAAAGGCATCCATCCACATTCATCAGTGCTTGCTGAACATTTATGGAGAGGAAACAGTGGATGTGAACACGGTGAGGTGGTGGGTGATGCATTTCAGCAATAATACTGTCATAGGTGCTGTGAAACAGTGGGTCACTTCCACAGGTGCAGACTTCTATGAGTGCAGCATACAGACTCCTGTTCATTGCTGCCAAAAATGCATAGCTGATGGTGGTGACTCTGCTAAGAAATGGTGCTTTGTAGGTGAGAATGTGCTCTTTCAAATAGCGTTCCTGTGCTCTTTTTACCTGTCGTAGTTTCTATGGAAATAAATAGGAGACATTACTTTCAGACTGAGCTGCGTATTTGACAGCAGTTTATTTCTGCTTCCAGAACTCAGCATTGCTCCTTCATCATTTACGTTAGGATACTGTCATTAGCACCATTTGAGAAGTCCAGCCTTGTTTGTCCAGTACTGTTGCTCTCTCAGCAGGTGACCTCATGCTGAAATCCTCTCTAAGGAAGTGATTTCTGCTAGTTTGTAAATGTCTTTCCCAGCTTTGTCTTAAACAGGGCATCTATAACAGACCCCATCAAAATTTGCCTCATTTTCATCTCATCTCAGTTCTCATCTACAATTTCAAATATCAGCACTACATAATCAAGGAGTACCTTAACATTAAGCATAAATCCCCCTCCTCATCTTCCCTATCTGTTCTTCCTAAGCAGCCTGTACCCTCCCATGCCCATGGTCCAATAATGCACAATATACCACCATGATTCCAACTGTGTTCTCTGTCTCCCTTTCAAAATGTTGTATTTGCAGCTATTCCTCTGCCAATTATGGACTTAGCTTCTGATGATGACGCCAATTTCATGCTCTTGTCTTGCACTTTCACTGCAAAAACTTTATTTCTTATTTCTCAGATGCAGACGTCCAAAGGTCTAGACAAAGATGAAGTTAAATTTCCAAACTTGGCATGGAAACTGCTCCCTGGAAATTCAGGTGACTAATGGTATTCTATGGTATTAAAAGGGCTTACAGGGAAATCAAGAGAACTATAGTGCAGTAAGTCTGATGTGTGTACTGGACAAATCAGAGGCACTATAATAGACCAGAAATAATGGACGCAGGAAAAAAGTGACAGCCCTTCTTTTGTATTTGTAAAGGAAGTAATACTTCTCAAACCTGCTGGGCTTTTTGATCAGATAAAGATTAGACAGTGTAGGTAAGGAGATTTAACTATTAAGACTGCATCTTCAGTACTAAATAAATCTACTTCTGAGTGCAGTCTCTGGTGTCAGATAGCGCTGCATCCAGTGCTTACTGCTTGTAATCACCAGAATTGCTCGCTGCACTGGCACTGTCTAAACACTTGGTTTGACTCTTGCCTACTTTCCATTCCACACCAACTAAATAGAGTATAAAACCATCATATTTGCCCTGAAGTTTTAACAGACAATGATGTGGAAGGAAAATTGTGAACTGCAGCTTTGACATTGCTGCATTACTGTTCACAAGAAATGGTGCATTACTTGTCAGAGCAGATTTCAAAGGGAGAACTCCTTATTCTTTGTACTAGACCTGGAGAGACTAGAAGGTTATTGGAAGAAAATAGAAGACTGGGAGGTCAACATGGGCAGTTCAGAAGAACTTTCAGGAGAAAACAAGACCAAAATTGCTGTGGGTTTTTTTTTTTTTTGTCTTGTTTTGTTGTTTTGGGTTTGTTTTTTTTTTTGTTATTTTGTTGGTTTTTTTTTTTAGCATATTCTCCAGTTGTTCTTTTGGAAGATGAAGAATATATTAAATCATACTTGCAGGCAAACTATATTGACGAATTTTCACCCACAAGATTTAAAAATTTGGGGCATAAGGATACTCAGACAGATATCCCTTAAAAAACTCTTGTCTACAGATCGCGAGCTTCAGATTTATTTTTATTTATAGAGATTATCAGTCCTACACAAGCAATACTTTTCTGTGACAGGATCCACTGGGCATTCCCTCTTCATGCATAGGAGTACTCAGTAATCTGAACTACTGGATCCAGAAGCCAGACGGATTAAGCCCCAGAAAACTCTGACCCACTTCCTCTGTCCAAGTGTGGGGCAGCCAAGTCAGCACCTGTTCTTGACAAGGGAGAGGTTTGCAAGAGGAGGCAGCCATGTCCTGATGGGAGGAGGGAAGAGGGATCCTGACACCACAGATGTTCTGCCATCCCTGTTGTCATTGCTGCAGAGCCTGGAGTCCAGTGGTACGAGAAGGAAACCACAGCACAGCTGGAAGAGGCAGAACGTGAGAAATCCATGGATGCAGGCAGTCCTGCACAGCAGTACAGTGGTGAACATAGTGCTGACGCTTCCCACAGTGGAGACGACATCCAGACATGCTGGAAACAGATTATACCCCATTTTCTGAAAGTTCCTGTAAAATATTCTGAGTTGGAAAGACTACACGAGAATTACCAAGTTCAACTCCTGTCTGCACATAGGACTACCTAAAAATTAAAGCATAATTCTGAGTATTGTTTAAATGTCTATCTACTATGGCTGCAGCAGAGATCTAACCATGGCCATGTAAAGTGTCTGACTGGCTCCAGAGGCCCTCATTTGTTCACATGCTATTTTCACAAGACAGCAGATTCCTGATGCTGCAATGGATCTGTGCTATGAAGCACTGTATCTTTCCTCCAGAAAACTCACTGTAGCCCTGCGTCTGTCGCTACTGCATCACAGTTCTCCTCAGAGTACACAGTACTTTGCCTTGCCATCCCCAATTTCTCGAAAAGCAAAGGAAAATTCACCAAGCAGAGGGGAAAAAAAAGCATAAAAACAGAACAAACAAACAAAAAAAGACCCATAAACAAATATGGTTCTACCTTCCCTTGAAGTTACTTTGTTCAATCCCTTTTTCACGCTGAAACAGTCAAGCACATCCATAACTCCAGTTATTTCTCAGCACCAAAATAACTCACACCTGATAGACACTTAGAGGCCTGGCTAAGCACAACCATGCTGCCCTACAAACACCAACTCCTGGTTATCACAGAATCACAGAATTGCTGTGTTATGATGTTGACTTTCCTTGTCTTGTGTTCAGTGAGCATGAAGAGAGGAGGCAGAGGCACTCATGACAGTGTTGAAGGGTGACAGTGGAGCACAACCAAGCACTCCTGAGTTCATGGTTCAATGCAAACTACATTCTCATCTCTGCATTTTGGAGCAACAGCATCAACCTTGTAGCCTGTTTAGTTAGAAAAAAATTTCACATCCAATATCTCCATGTAATTACCATGGAACCATATGCAGACCTTCTGTTTAAGTCCTCTGTTCCTTCTACCTGGAGCTGCTCTGAACATGACCTCCTGGACAGTTGCAGTGACATGAAAAGTTGCCACTGGCCTGGTCTCCATTTCAAATGGATTGATCTTTTCTGCCTAGAGAAGATCAAATAAAGTAAATCCTGGCAGACCATACAAGAATCACCTAGGAAAATTTAAGAATGGATCTTCCTGGGAGTCAGTATGCATGATGGAAGATTTAACCTTGGCCTCTGGTGAATTCAATCTGGTGAATGAAAAGTACCTGTTAGTGAGCTGTCATCTCTCTGAAGAAGCACAGCATCACAATCACTGTCACACAGTTCATGCTCTCATGAGAACATCAGATACCTTTGTTAATGTCTCTAGATTCAGTTAGCCATACACCCATCCTAGAGCAGCTGCACAATGGATTTCACAGCCATTTAGAGGAGGTGTGCTCAAGTCAGGTGGGTATCCAGTCAGTGGATGCCAAAAAACAGGACATACTGAAACATGAAGTTTCTTTGCCAAATGGAGGATGCTTTTAAAAAGATATTTAGTTGTTTCCTTTGCGCTGGGATCCACAGGCTCTCCCAAACTTTCACGAAGCTTTTTGTGATCTTGACCAGCACCAGCTCCTTTTACTTGACTGCAAATGTGAAGAGAACACATTCACATTAAAGATCAGCAGGAGATCTCAAGATGGCATCGATCTCACCCTGTCCCTTCAGTGTCATGTCACCAGCAATTTCACTTGGAAAGAGGCTTGGTTAATTTTGCTCATATCAAAAAGGAGTTCAATGCAGGAGAAGCAGGAGAGCCAAGAGTGCCTGCGGATAGCAGCCTGCATCAGAGACCAGGTAAGGCAACCTGGACTCTAGCACACAGAATGAAATTCTTGGTCTTCATGCTTGCAAGTACCATGCAAGATTCCTAGGAGAGGCCTGTAATGCTTCTTTAAATACAAATCCCTTTGCATTCCCTGCTAGTCAGTCCTACAAGGATGGAGAGGGCTCAGGAATGTTTGCTTCTGCTCCACTAGGAAACATCCCATGGATGTGCAGATGTCTGCACTGTGGACTGTGGCAGAGTGGCTGAGAATGGCTCTAGTTTGACCACGTACTATGGGGTTGTTTAGAATGGAGAAGGGAATGCTTTGGACCTCACTGCAGCCTTTCAGTACTTAGAAAGGAGATTATAAAAAAAGATGGAGGCCAACTTTTTACATGGCCTGACAAGGCCATAGGACAAGGGGCAATGGTTTTAAACTAAAAGAGGGGAGATTTATATCAGATGTTAGGAGGAAAATCTTTACTCAGAGAGAGGTGGTTCACTGGCACTGCTGCCCAAAGAAGTATGGGTGCCCCATCCCTGAAGGTGAGTATGGCCAGGCTGGATGGGGCTTCGGGCAGCTTGAGCTGGTGGGTGGTGATCAGTTCATGGCAAGGGAGTTTGAACAAAAAGATATTTAGGGGCCCAATTTAATCAAAACTGTTCTATGATTCTATGACTTTATGATTCTCTGTGAGAGTAAAGACATGCAAACTTTGTATAGCAACAGCAGAGTGAGCTTCCACCTTTTGCAGTGCTATACCCAAACTGTCACAGTTCTGCACAGCTGGATAAATGCTTTCTCATCTCAATATCTGCAATTTCAAGGGACAGCAGTCTACAAGCTCCCTCAGCAGCCTCTACAGGCTCCTATATTCTACCACAGGAACAAATCCAGTAAGCAAGACAGAAGAGATCAACAGAATCATAGCAACTATGCCATGGGCAAGATGCCACCCAACTGTCCTCCACTTCCTGTCAGGGGATTGCCTAGATGCCTTTCCATCCCTTAGACTGTCATTGCCCATAGCACTTTGCAGCCCAAATGCTGCCTTGCAATTGCATTTTAGCTGTGATAGACACTAAGTGCTATACAACTGCTTGCTCACTATCTCAGCAGGAGAGAATTGGAACAGTAAAAATGAGAATATTTGTGAGCTGAGGTGAAGATACCTTAATAGACAAAGCAAAAGCAAGCAAAACAAAATAAGGCACTCACAGAGTCACATGGAATCACAGAATCATCAAGGCTGGAAAAGACCTACAAGATCATCCAGTGCAACCATCCACTATCACCAACAGTTCTCACTAAACCATGTTCCTCAACACAAAATCCAAACGTTCCTTGAACACCTCCAGGGTCGGTGACTCCACCACCTCCCCGGCAGCCCATTCCAGTGCCTGGCCACTCTTTCAGAGAAGTAGTATTTCCTAATGTCCAGCCTAAATCTCCTCTGGCGCAGCTTGAAGCCATTCCCTCCAGACCTATCATTAGATACATGAGAGAAGATCCCTGTCTAGGGAGACCAGGACTAGAACATGGTATTCTAAATGTGGCATCACTAGGGCAGAGATCCCAACATAACTGCCCTCTGTCTGAGAGTCCCATTCACAGAGCATTTGCCCAGGAAGTGGGGTCTGTGTGCAGCACTCTTCTCAGCTAAGGAGCGACGTGCATGCTCAGCATCCTTTACATGCCTCTGAGATCTTGGTCCCTTACCAGCAGGTAAGGATGTATTCTGGTTGCATGCATTGTCCACAACCCCATCTCGAAGCTTGTCCACTGTGCAGGCAGTCACACGACCTACACCAACATTGTTTCCAAATTATGGCTTTAGTTCCCATAGATACAAATGCACTTAGATCCCAACAAACGCACTTAGACCCCTCCAGTCTCATGCTCACCATTTTCCAGGGTAGCTAGCTCTAGCCATGGGTGGCTTTATGCTTACTTTTATCACAAGACAACTTCTAGAGGTGTTTCCTAACCTGACTGTAGGAGGTGAAATCTTTCAGAGGTGAAAAATCTCTGAGAGCAGTGTGGAATTCTCTTGTGCTCTTAGCTATATTGAAGAGGACTAGGCATCTACATCTTGCATGCAGCACTGCATAGCAGGAGGTGCTAAGAACATACTCTGCATCTCTCCTGGCCTTCCTGCCACTCTTTGTGCCCATGTCCCGCTGGGTGGCAGGAGGCCTTCTTTGAACGTAGCAAAAAGACTTGGATGAGGAGGAGCAATACTTTGCAGCTTAGCCCTGAAGTTTCTGCATTACTGTTCTATGCTGTGTGGAGGTTGCTGTGTATGCAGTGGGGCTGTGTGGATAAAGTACATATGGGCAAAACTCGTAGTTAATCTTTGAGGATTGCGCTAGAGGAGAACAGAAAACTTGTCAGGCTCTACATGCTTTATGCATCCCTGATCATTCTCATTAGCTGCTCCTTTCCCAGGAGCTCCTCCAGCTGTGTACCCCTTCCTCCTCCAATGTCTCCAGGCCTTCCTTCCTTACCTCTGCAGCCCCCACCCGCTCATGCCCTGCTGGCAGCCCTAGCTGGCTGCTCCAACTAATCCCTTCAGCTGATGTGACTTCAGTGACTTCCTCAAGGTCTCCTGGCTATAACAGGACCCATGGAGCAACCAGAGAGCAAGAAGTCTGTGCTGCTGAATGGGTGAAGTTCCCTGATTTCCTCGCTACTTTAAAATATATATATACCTTTTCATGATTTTCAGCATGCAACCACTGCTGTTGGCCATGCTGCTATTATAAGGTCTGTCTAGACGTCAGTTTGCTCCGTAGCTCCTGCTGGACATCCCGACATAGAATGCCCAACCTCTGCTGTACCAACATTTCTGCTGCTCTCAGTGTAATAGGAGAGCTCACAGGAACATTAGCACTGGACAAGCAGAAATGTCAGAATGCTACTCTATGACAAAACCTTTCATCCCTACCCTTTGATAGGATGTGACTAGACCCCGCAGGCGGTACAAAAACATTTTCCATGTTAAAGGGGCATTTATCAGTTCAGCTTATTGCTAAGGTGCATGCTCTCATTGCTTCCTGCAGAATGTGTTTACTCCATATTTTTGATGCACCATCTAGATGGGAAATGTGCCATTAAACAAACACTATCAGTAAGTGTGCCTGAAGGAATGAGGTGAGAGAACTGATAGAAGCAATAAACGCTTTCCCAGGAAGAATTACTTAGGGTCATAATGAATGAGACTTAAAACCCACAGGTTGAAAATGATTGTGAATCACTCATTCTTTGCTATGGTGAATGCAATCAAAACTTCCTTGGTTTATCTGTGAGCACTTGTAAAGACAAGCAAAAGTCACAGACTGGTTATGAAGAAGTTATGATGGCCTTGCTTTGCCTTGTCCCTTGTGCTCCATTCAGAAACTAATTTCTGCAGCTTGGAATGCAGTTATGATTTACCTTCACTAAATGTCAAGGAAGGTGAACAGGTCTCTCCTAAGAGGAACACTGGTGACAGATGTGTTGTGAAGTAGCTTCCTACAGAGCGGTGTTCTTGGAAGTTCCTAGAATGAGTTAACTGAACACAAGAGGCAAACAAAGCCCATAATCTGTGATCAAAAAATGAGCAGATTCAGATGCATACCACAGGTGCACCATTACTGAGACTCCTCCCTTCTGCAGCACTAACAGCAGTGGAAGAGATCT